CCACCATAGTAGAACAAACTGACAGACAAATGCCATATATTATTTACTTAAAAACTGAAATAAAGTTTTATGTTTTATTTACTTGAATTTTACAAGAAAAGCAAAGTTGAGTAATAGTTCTCAAATAAGTTCTTCATGAAAATGAAAACCTAAAAAATTCTATTTATGGACGTTATTTCCTGCAGAGACTCAGATATATTACTGCATTGGCATCCTGGGGAAACCAGGAATAATCTCAGCTTTCCTCAAGATTTCTCTGTGAAGTTCTGAAACTAAACCTAAAATAGGTCTAAAACAACAGTTCTGAGTTACCCCAGATGGTCACACTAAACAGCCTTGTCCAGGCTCCTGAATGGGAAATATCCAAAGATTCAGCAGTCCAACTTGTAGACTTCGGTTACATCAGAACATTTCCTACTAAAACCACCTAATAATACTGACTATTGCTGTGTGCCACTGAGTTTGTTCCTACTTATAGCCACTAGGATAGGGTTTCCAAGAGTGGCTGGTAGTTTTGAACTGCTGGTCTTCTGTTTAGAGCGGTTAGCAGTCCAGTGCTTATTGCACAGTGCCACTCCAGGATTCAGCAAGAATTTGGTATATCCTGGTGTTGTACTACGGGATACACACTGGACTGCTAACTGCACTGTTGGTGGTTCAAACCCACCAGTTGCTCCTTGAAAACCCTATACAGGGCTGCTGAGTCAGAACCAACTCAATGGCACTTACCAACAACAATAACAAAGATAACAAAGGATCTTTGATGAGAGTTTCTGAGAAGCCGAGTTCCCTGTCCCACAGTGCCTCATTTCCTTCCCCACTAATTCTGGTTGCTTTAGTATCACTAGTGGTAATGTGAGTGGATCAGGGCGCTACCTATGGCTAATCCTCTCTAAATGCTTGCTGAACAAATGGAGATGCGGGGCAAGGGGAAGAGGAGAAGAGAAAAAGCACACGAGCAGGGGTGAGACTGGAGGATGAAAATAAAATCTGGGAGTGTTTTTAGACTGATTTCCTCTGCCCAGGGAAAATACAATGAATTAAAGCTCTGCAACAGATTCTTGGATTTGCCTTTTAGTCTACTTAAATCCTGAAAAATACTTTAACTTTGCTTTTCCTGGCTTATCCACTACAGTGCTGCACGAGACAATATAAAGGAAGAAAATGCAGTGTGATCCCATGTGCAGATTATAAATAATGAAGGCCACCTGAAACTGTTGCTTTCTCCTCTCTATACAAACTCCACCACATCAAACAAAGAAACCTATTAAGTTTTTTAATACCTAAGGGGTATTGTAGGATAAATATTGGACTGTTAATCACAAGGACAGCAGTTCAAACACTGCTCCCTTAAAGATTTACAGCTTCAAAAACCCTATACAGGGTCACTGACAGTTGGAACAACAGCACCACCACCACCACCATCTGTTACTACTGAAAAGGGAAGAAACAATTGACAGTTAAATAATGCCACAGTAAGCACAAACTCTTTTGTTGTTGTTGTTGTTAGGTGCCATCGAGTTGGTACCGTCTCATAGCAACCTTATGCACAGCAGAACAAAACACTGCCCAATCCTGAGCAAACCTCATAATTGTTGCCATGCTTGAGTCCATCGATGCCACCACTTGGCCAATCCATCTCATTGGGGGTCTTCCTCTTTTTCTCTGACCCTCCACCTTAGCAAACATGATATCCCTCTCCAGTGACTGGTCCCTCCTGACAATATGTCTGAAGTATAAGAGACGAAGTCTGGCCATCTTGGCCTCCAAGGAGTACTCTGGCTGCACTTCTTCTAAAACGGATTTTTTGGTTCTTTTGGCAGCCCATGGCACATTCAGTATTCTCCTCTAACACCATAACTCAACAGCATCAATTCTTCTATGATCTTCCTTATTCACTGTCCAGTTTTTGCATGCATATGAGGTTATTGAAAATACCATGGCTTGGGTCAGGCGCACCTTAGTCCTCAAGCTGACATCTTTGCTCTTCAACACTTTAAAAAGGCTTTGTGCAGCAGATTTGCTTAATGCAATATGTTGACAAACTCTTTAGGCCTCTTTAAATCCTTTTTTGGAATAAATATGAATATAAAGAAATAACTTTAAATGACAAATTAGAACTCTGATTACATTACTAGGAAGATTACCAGCACTTCAAGAAAGAAAAACAGAGGTAAATTCTTAAAAGTTTAGTTTGCTTATAAAGAGAAAACTGGTATGAATAAAGAATCCATTATTTTGTACACTTAGTTGTTAAAATAAATATTGGTACACCATTATCCCACCCAAAAATAATAGTCATATGAAAATTTTACCTCGTATTTGGAGCACAGTACAAAAGTTTGGTCTCCTCCAGAGAAGATCTGCTTAACAATGTGATATTTACAGCGATCTGTCAAAAAAAAAAAAAAATTTTCAACAGCATGTTTTTCAATAATTGATGTTTCTCCTTGACCCCTTTTCCTAATATTCTAAAATACACTTTAGAAAGGTTTTCTTTTTGTTTTAATTATGAGAGAGAAATATTAAACCACCTCTCCTGACTGTCCTCCAGAAATGTTTCTACTACAAAATAAATAAATAAAATGGTATCTTTTGCTATAAATCTGACTCTCCCCTGGCCCCCCACTTCCCACCCTCAGGCTGCTAATTCTGACCTAGTTTCTATTTTTCATTATAACTCTGTGTAGACCAGGGATCTGAAATGAGCAGTACCATCATTGGTGGCATATGTTTAGCCAGTAAGGCGCCATCTCAAAATGGGGGCCTTCAGGATAAGGCTTGCCATATAAGAATCTCCATTTCCTACATCCTTCTTTATTGCTCACTATACTGTGTCCACGTGACACTCCAATAGCACCCACATTACTTTTATTTATAACACACATGGCATTTCATGTCTCTAAGCCTTTTCTATGTACCACCCAAAGCAGAGAACCTAAGAATAGTGCCTCTTTGAGAAATGATTTGAATAGTGTTTTTGAACTTGTGGAACTGAGGTATTCACCACCACCCACTCCCTCATAGTCCTTCCCTGTCTGGTTAACTCCAAGTCACCCTTTAAGACAACTCAGACTTCCTCTAATCAGCATTCTTCTTAGTGCCTTCCTCAGTGCTCTCACATTATCATACAGTTTCCTGAAACCATTGCGGTACTATAGGAGGCTGTAATTAACTTACAAAATCATTTGAAAAATACCCAAGTACAAATTTACGATCACATAAGTTGTGGTAATTGAACTTCAAAAATTTGGGATTTAAAATTCACCTATAAAACACTTCAGTTTTTTAAAAACAGGAAAAATTGGACAGATTCTGGAAGCATCAAAGTAAAATGGTACAAAATCAGAGTTACTGTATCAAAAAGCATTGGTCGATATTCAGCTATTTCAAGAGTTAGCACAGGATCAAAAACCAATGGTATTAAAGGAAGAAGTCCAAGCTCTACTGAAGGCACTGGCAAAAAACAAGGTTCTAGAAAGATGAGACTTTCTGCTCCAGTAAAGATTTACAGCCTTGGAAACCCTGTATAGGGTTGCTATGAGTCAGAACCGACTCCAGGGCACATAACAACAACAACAATGAATAGGCAGAATACTATTAGCATTTTTCAGTCAAGATAGACAACACTGGAAGAACTCACTTGTCCATGCCAAGAAATCTGGAATATAGTTAGCAGGCCAACTGACTGGAAGAGATCCATATTTGTGCTCATTCCAAAGAAACATGAGCCAAAAAGATACAGAAACTACCAAACAATTATATATATATAACTGTAACTGTTTTTGAATTATCTTCAGCAAAGCTTTACTTTTTAAAAACTTTTTTTGTGATATATATATATATATATATATATATATATATATATTTGTTATTGTTGTTATGTGCCATGCAGTCTGTTCATATATATAGATATATAGATATAGATAGATAGATATACATCACACACAAAAAAGTAAAACAAAAAGTAAAGCTTTGCTGAAGATAATTCAAAAACAGTTACAGTAGTGTATCAACAAGGAACTGTCAGAAATTCAAGTCAGATTCAGAAGAAGATACGGAATAAGGGATATCATTGCTGATGTTAGATGGATCTTGGTTGAAAATAGAGAATACCAGAAAGATGTTTACCTGTGCTTTATTGACTATGAAAAGGTATTCAACTGTGTAAATTATAACAAGCTATAGATAGCATTGCAAAGAACGGGAATTTAAAAAAACTTAATTGTGCTCATGCAGAACCTGTACATAGACCAAGAGACAGTCAGTCATTTGGATAGAACAAGGTGAAATTGCATGGTTTAAAATCAGGAAAGGTGGGCATCAGGGTTGCATCATTTCACCATGCTTATTCAATCTGTATGCTGAGCAAACAGCCAAAGAAGCTGGACTATATGAACAAGAATGCAAGAGGAAGAGGCATTAACAATTTACAGTATCAGATGATATAGCCTTGGCTGCTGATGAAGATCAAAGACTATAGTCTTCAGTATGGATTACACCTCATAATAAAGAAAACAAAAATCTTCACAACTGGTAACAACTGGGGTCTTATAATAGCTTGTGAGTGGTCATGTAAGGTGCAACTATTGGTCTCCAGAGAAAAGAGAAATGATAAGATCAAAGAGGCAAGGAATCAATTAGACTAATAGGCCATATGAACATCAATTTCCACAACCCTGAAACCAGAAGAACTAGATAGTGCCCAGCTACCACTACCAGCTGCTTTAAAAGGGATATTAGAAAGTTCTAGACAGAGTGAGAGAAAAATGTGGACCAAAACTCAAAATCATTAAAAAAAAAAAGCTGGCTTATTGGTTTGACAGAGACGGGTAGAACCTCTGAAAGTATGGCCCTTAGTTGTTATAGTGTGATGTTCGCTGAAGAGCTGAAGGCTAAACTAGGATTAAACGTAGAGGACTGCTATCCAAGGGCCTTGTGATCTTACATGACAATGCAAATCTGCACACATCCGCCCACACTGTTGACACTCTGCAAAAACTTCATTTTGAGGCGTTAAAGCATCTTTCCTATAGTCCTGACCTTGCTTCATAGGACTGTCACTTGTTTGGTCCCTTAAATACAGCCCTTCCTGGATGAATATATACCTCTGATGAAGAAGTGAAGACAGTGGTGCATTCGTGGCTCACAGCTAAATCTAATATATATATACATTTAAATAAGGAAATACGATAGCTTATATGGACAAAGTGTATTGAAAAGCAAAGAAAGTATGTCAAAAAATGATGTATTCACCTTTTCTGAAAGTTGATTAAAAGCAATTCTATAGTCAGAGTTGACATCATGCTACTAGCATTCCTTTAGGATTATGGTATTGGAAAATTATATTGGATACACCATGGACTGTCAAAAGAACAAACAAATATGTCGAGGAAAAACTACAGCCAGTATTTTCCTTAGAAGCAGTGATGGTAAGATTTATCTTTGTACTTTGGACATGTTATCCATGTGGCAACAGTTCCAAGAGAAGGACAACAAGCTTTGTAAAGTTGTTGTCGTTATGTGTCATGGAGTCGGAACCAACTCATAGCGACCCTATACAGGGTTTCCGAGGCTGTAAATCTTTACAGGAGCAGAAAGCCTCATCTTTCTCCCGTGGAACAGCTGATAGTTTTGAACTGCTGATCTTGCAGTTCTCAGCCTGATTCGTAACCACTAAGCTACCAGAGCGTAAAGTGGAGGGTCAGTCAAAAGGAGGAAGAGCCTCAGTGATATTGTGAGGCTGATACAGTGGCTCCAACAAGAGGCACAGAGAAAGCAATGAGTGTGAGGATGGCCTGGGAACAGGCAGTGTTTCATCTGTTGTGACTATGAGTCAGAACCAACTCAGTAACACCTAACAACACCACATTTCTTAAATACACATATTTTTAGTGTGAGTGCACAATGCTTTAGGGAGTTCTGGTGTGGCACTGTGGATTAACGCGCTGGACTGCAAGGTCAGCTTGAACTGCAGGGTCAGTGGTTCAAGCTCACCAGCCATTCCTTGGAAACCCTATACAGGGTCACCATGGGTTGGAACTAACTCAACGGTACTTAACAACAACAGTAATGCTTTAGAGAAAAAGAAATTTTAAAAAGACAGAGAAGATACCAAGCCATGTTTTGCTTTTAGGAAAATCACCATAATAAATCCTTGTTTAGTTCCTATTTAGTTCTACGATATTTTTAGATGTCTATAGCCATTTCATAATTAGTGGTTTACAAGTTTGTATCAAATTCTGTGCTATATGCTAAAGAAGAAAACAATCACTCCTGTCCTTAAATTTAGTATAAAACAGTAGAAAGAAAAGACTTAGCCACTGTCCATAAATTTCATATAATCCAGTAGAGGGTCTATGATCCTTCTTACTACTTAAAAAAATTCCTCATCAGGTCATATATGTACCACTTTAAAGACCTCAAAATAAAAAATAATCATTCAATCAACTGTTTATAATGATTCTCCAGCTGTATTTCAGCCTCTAGGTTTACTGTCTCAAGGTAAGCTAGTCATTAATTAAATATGCCAGCCTTACTTTATCAATGAAACTGACACAATCTTTTAAGAGAAGATAAAAACGGCAGCAAGCTAGAGGTTACAAAGTGCAAGCATTAAGAGCATGATGTTCCCTATGTGAAAACAGATGCTATTAAGGGCCACTGAGTTGGTTCCAACTCATAGTGACCCTATATACGAGAAGGAAGTACTGCCCAGTACTGCACCACTCTAAAATCATTGCTATGTTTGTGCCCATTGTTGCAGCCTAAACAATCCATCTCACTGAGGAGCTTATTATTTTGCCCTGACCCTCTACTGTACCAAGAATAATGTCCTTCTCCAGTGACTGATCAACTCATGATAATATGTCCAAACCACATGAGAAGAAGTCTTGCCATTCTCACTGCTAAAGACCATCTGGCTATACTTTTTTCAAGACAGATTTGTCCTTCTGGCAGCGCATGTGAAAGTAATATTCTTTGCCAACACAATAATTCAAAGGCATCAATTCTTCGTGGGTCTTCTTTATAAATTTCCGAGCTGCCACATGCATATGAAGTGACTGAAATATCATGGTGTGAAACATTGCTTTTTGAACAAATTACAAGAAATGTTCAGCAGTACATTTGTCCAGTACAATATGGCATTTGATTTCTTGATTGTTGCTTCTATGGGTATTGATTGTGGATCCCAGTAAAATAAAATCCTACAAAACTTCAATGTCATCCTCATTTATCATAATGTTGCTTACTGGTCTACTTGTGAGGACTTTAGTTCTCTTTGTACTGAGATGCAATCTATACAGAAAGTGGGACTCTTTGATTTTCATCAGTAAGTAGTTTAAGTCCTCTTCACATCCAGTAAGCAAGGTTGTATAATCCGCATATTGCAGGTTGTTAATGAGTCTTCCTCCAATCCAAATGCCATGTTCTTCTTCATGTAGTCCAGCTTCCAGGATCATTTGCTCAACATGCAGAATGAATATGGCTGGTGAAAGAATACGACCCAGGTGCACACCTTTCCTGATTTAAAACCAGGAAGTATTCCCTTGGTCTGTTCAAATGACTACCACTTGGTCTACGTACAGGTTCCAATTTAGTACAATTAAGTGTTCAGAATTTCACATTCTTTACAATGTTAGCCATAATTTGTTATGATCCACACAGCCTTTTCATAGTCAATAAAACACAGGTAAACATCTTTCTGATATTCTGTTTTCAGCCAAAATTCATTTGACATCAATAAAGATATCTCTTATTCCATATACTCTTTTGAATTTCACTTGAATTTCTGGCAATTCCCTGTTGATGTACTAGTATAACTGTTTTTTAATTACCTTCAGCAAAACTTTAGTTGTATGTGACATAAACAATGTTGTTTGATAACTGCTGTATTCTTTCAGCTCACATTTCTTTGGAATGGGCACAAATATGGATCTCTTAGTCAGCTGGCCTGGCAGCTGTCTTTCAAATTTCTTGGCATGGACAAGTGAGAATTTTCAGAGTTGAATGCATTTGATCAAACACCTCAAATAGGATTTTATCAATTCATGAAGTCCTTTGTATGCCCAATACTTTCAGTGCAGCTTGGACTTCTTCCTTTAGCACCTCAGTTCTTGATCAAATGATACCTCCTGAAATGGTTGAATGCTGACCAATTCTTTTTTGGTATAGTGAGTCTGTAGATTTCTTCTATCTGGCTTTGATGCTTCCTGCATCATTCAACATTTTGCCCATGTTGTGCCTTTGAGTTGGTTCTGATTCATAGCAACCCTCTGCACAGCTATGACTCTAAACTTTACCAAGCATGATGTCCTTCTCCAAAGACTGGTCCCTCCTAATAACATATCCGAAGTATGACAGACAAGATCTCATCATTCTGTCTTCTAAGCATCTGGCTGCACTTATTCCAACACAGATATGTTTGTTCTTCTGGCAGTCCATGGTACTTTTAATATTCTTCTCCAACAACATAATTCAATTGCATCAATTCTTCTAAGGTGTTTCCGTATTCACTGTCCAATTTTCACATATATATTGTTGTTGTGAAGTACCATCGAGTCAATACTGACTCATGGAGACCCTGTATTGGGTTTCCAAGAAGTGGCTGGTGAGCTTGAACCACTGACCCTGAGATTCAAAGCAACCTTGAAGTCAAGTGCATTAACCCACAGCACCACAATATGCATATTAGGCAACTGAAAACTCCATGGCTTGGATTAGGCATACCTTAGTCCTCAAACTGATAGATATCTTTGCTCTTGAGCACTTTAAAGAGGTCTTGTCCAGCAGAATTGCCTAATGCAATGTATTACTTGAGTTTTTGACTGCTGCTTCCATGGTTGTTGATACTGGAGCCAAGCAAAATGAAGTCTTTGACTACTTCAAACTTCTCTCTATTTATCATGATTTTATTTACTGGCCTAGTTATAAGAATATTAGTTTTCTTTACATTAAGATATAATCCATACTGAAGGCTACGGTTTTTGATCTTCATCAGTGAGTCCTTTTCACTTCCTTCAAGCAAGGTTGTATCATCTGCATATCACAGGTTGTTAGTTATTCTTCTTCCAATCCTGATGCCATGTTCTTCTTCATATAATCCAATTTCTATAATTATTTATCCAAAATATAGATTGAGTATGTGTGGTGAAAGAATACAACCCTGGCATACACCTTTTCCTGATTTAAGCCATTCAGTATCTCCTTGTTCTGTTCAAACGACTACCTTTTGGTCTATGTACAAGTTCCTCATCAGCATAATTAAGTGTTCTGGAATACCAGTTTTTTGTAATATCATCCATAGCTTGTCATAATCCACACAGCTAAAAGCCTTTGCATAGTCAATAAAGCAGAAATAAACATTTTTATGGTATTTTCTGCTTCAATTACGATCCATCTTACGTTAGCAATTGCATCGCTCATTCTACGTCCTTGTCTGAATCTGGCTTCAGTTTCAAGCAGCTCCCTGTTGATGTACTGCTGCAGTCGCTGAATTATCTTCAGCAAAATTTTACTGTAGGAATGGAATATTAATGATATTGTTCAATGACTTCCACATTCACCACTCTTTGGAACAGGCACACAAAGATGGATCTCTTCCAAATGGCTGGTAAAGCAGTTGTCTTCTAAATTTCTTGGCACAGATGAATGAGTGCTTCCAATGCTTCAACAGTTTATTGAACAATTTCAATTTGTATTCAAGCAAATCACAGAGTCTTGTTTTTCACCAGTGCCTTCAATGCAGCTTGGACTTTTTCCTTCAGTGCCATCAGCTCTTGATCATATGCAACCAATGAGCAAAGACCATTTCTTTTTGGTACAATGATTCTAGGTATTCCTTCCATCTTCTTTTGATGCTTTCTGTATTATTCAATATTTTGTGAATTGTTGTTGTTATTTTTAAGTGCTGTTAAGTCAGTTCTGACTCACAGTGACCCTGTATAGAGTTTCCAAGGAACAGCTTGTGAGCTTGAACCTCTGACCTTGCAGTTCAAACTGACTTTGCAGTCCAGTGCAGGGCCATGGCAGGACTCCCAAAGAATCTTGATTTTTTTTCTTCAGTTCTTTCAGCTTGAGTAGTGCTGACCATGTTTTTTCCTTTTGTTTTTTCAATTCCAGGTGCTTGCACATATCATTATAATCTTTTACTTTGTCTCCTCAAGTTGCCCTTTGAAATGTTCTGTTCAGCTCTTTTACTTCCTCATTTTGTCCATTCGCTTTAGCATTTCTACATTTGGAAAGCAAATTTCAGAGTCACTTCTGACATACATTTTGGTCTTTTCATTCTTTCCTGTCTTTTTAGTGACTGTTTTGTTGTTGTTGTTGTTCTCTTTGCTTTCTTCCTGTGTGATGTTCTTAATGTCATCCCACAGTTTTTCTAGTCTTTTGTCACTAGTGTCTAAATGCATCAAATCTGTTTTAAAGATGGTCTCCAAATTCAGGTGAGATATGTGCAAGGCCATATTTTGGCTGTCATGAACTTGTTTTAATTTTCTTCTGCTTCAGCCTGAACTTGCATATTAGCAACTGATGGTTTGTTCCAAAGTCTGCCCTTGATCTTGTTTTGGCTGATGACACTGAGCTTTACCACATAGTCTGTTCCTACAGATGTAGTCATTCTGATACCTGTGCATTCCATTTGGTGAGGTTCATGTGTATAGTCACTTTAATGTTGTTTAAAGATATTTGCAATAAATAATTCATTGGTCTTGCTATATTATATTATGTGATCTCCAGTATCACTTCTCTCTCCAAGGTCATATTTTCCAACTACTGATACTTCTTCATTTCCAATCTCCCCATTCTAATCACCAGTAATTACTAATACATCTTGATTAAATATTTGGTCAATTTTAGACCGAAGAAGTTAGTAAATCTTTCTATTTTATTATCACTGGCTTTGGTGGTTGGAGCATAAATCTGAATAATAGTGTTCTTCCTAGTAGGCACATGGATATCATTCTATCTCAGACACACTGTACTTCACAATAGATCTTGAAATGTTCTTTTTGATGACGAAAACACCATTCCTCTTGAATTTGTTATTCTTGGCATAGTAAACCATATGATTTTTTTATTCAAAATGGACAATACCAGTCAATTTAAGCTCACTAGTGCCTAGAATATCAATCTTTGTGAATTTCATTTTTGGCAGCTTCCAATTTTCCTAGAGTCATACAAGGAGCTCTGGTAGTGTAGTGGCTACGAATCGGGCTGCTAACCTTAAGGTCGACAGTTCAAAACTACCAACCGTTCCACAGGAGAAAGATGAGGCTTTCTGCTCCTGTAAAGATTTACAGCCTCGGAAACCCTGTGCAGGGTAACTATGAGTCAGAACCTACTCCATGGTACTTAACAACAACAACATACTTCATACATTCTATGTTCTGATTATTAATAGATGTTTACAGCTGTTTCTCCTTTATTTTGAGTTTTGCCCAGTCAGTAAATGAAGGTCCCCAAAGCTTTACTCCATTCGAATCCTTAACTCTACTTGGAGGAAGCAACTCTTCCCTAGTCGTATTCTGAGTGCCTTCCAACTTTCGGGGATCATCTTCCAGTGTGAACTCTGACAATGTTTCACTGTATTCATTAGGTTTTCAGTGATGAAATATTCAGAAGTAGTCTGCCTCTCCTTTTCCTAGTCTATCTTAGTCGGGAAGCTCATTTGACACCCGTCCACCATGGGTGACACAGCTGGTATTTAAAACATCTGTGGTATAACTTCCAGCATCACAGTAACAAGCGAGCCACCAGAGTAAGACAAACTGACAGACGAGTTGTGGATTCTATCCTTCAAATCCTTCAAAGTTTGCAACTCCTGAGTTGAATTTTTTTTCAACAGTTCTTTCAGCTTAAAAAAATGCTGAGTGTGTTCCACCTTTTGGTTGTTGAACACCAAGTCTTTGTACTTTTCATCATAATACTTTACTTTTTCTTACTGAGTTGCTCTTTGCATGAGATAGCCCTTGGTTAAAGTCTAGCTCCACCAGTCATGTGTGCCATCGGTCAAATTACTTAACTGCCTGCACATTCAGTTTCTTCATTTCTAATAGGGGTTAATTTGTTTGTAAAGTAATTTTGATTGTTGATCTGAGTTATGGAATTTAGTGAAGCATTTAGCAATTATTTATAGTAAGAATAACAATTTAAATAGCAACTAATAAAAATTATAATGCTACAATTAGAGACCAAAATAATATCTTTTACTTTTTTTAGTCATCTAGTAAGATCTTAACTAGGGCTTTTATATTAAGTACTTAAATATTCATCGATTGATGTTTTCAAAAAATACCTTATATTCATTCCCTCCAAAAGATCTCAAGATAAATAACAGATAAACAATGTATTAACAGTTGTTTTTGGTCCAATAAAAAAAATCCTCTTACCAGCTCTGGCTGAAAGCTGGGCACTGTGGGCAGCCCAGTAACCCTTCACAGGAGATGGGCACTTAACATTACAAGTGTGTCCAGTTCCTAATTGACCTCTTGCTCCACATCCAAATGCATAGATGAGTCCAGAAGAAGGCACAAAGGCTAGGGTGTGCTGTCTGAGGAAAAGTCATTTAAATTAACTTGTCAGTATAGTTTCTACTGATCTGGATCTCCACTCAGACTCTGAATTTCAGTTTCCACATGTGTGCACAGTAAGTCCTAGGTGTGCCCTGGTTAAAGCTTCCCCCGGTTTATATGTGAATTGGCTGACTCTTTTTCAGTGTCTCCACAACACCATTCTCTCAGTTATCGGTCAGATGGAGAGACTTGAAAACAGCTGCACAATCTGCTGCACTTGGCCTTTGCAGCGAGAAGGAAGAAACAGAGTATATACTCAGGCAAAATTTTCAAGAAGTACTTTGGGGTGTTCTCATTTTACTTTCTTCACCTCCCCATAGCCTGTTTTCCTTTATCCCAAAAGAAGCCTAAAGGCTTCATGTTACTGTTTATCTAAAACCTTTCCTTTCTGCACCCTACTCAGATTTGATTTTCTCTGAACTTTACCCATAGGTGTGCCTGCAGCTAACATTTCTTAAAATGATGTGGTTAAGGGGCCCTGCTGGCATTGGCACAGTCGTTAAGTGCTCAGCTGTGAACTGAAAAGGTCAGAGGTTTGAGCCATCCAGTGACTCCCTGAGAAGAAGGGGTGGCAGGCGGTTTCTGTGAAGATTAGACCTTGGAAACACTATGAGGCAGTTCTATTCTGTCCCAGAAGGGTCACTATGAATTAGAATCAACTCAGCGGACCCCTAGCAACCAGTCTAACCACATTCTCCATCACTACAAAACAAAGATCCACTTCTGGGTCTTAGTAGATACCAGGAAGCTCTTAGAAGCACTCACCTGCCGCAAGCAATCTGAGTCACTTCAGTGCCCATCAACTCTAGAACTCTTCTTGGATTAACCTCATCATTTATGGAGTCATGTCCAAGTTGCCCGCAGGAACCAGCACCAAAGGTAAACACACCTCCATTCTAACAAGAAACAAACACCATATGACTTCACTGCTTCTCTTGAGTTTGAGCATACTCCTCTAAACTCTTCTGTTCACAGAATTCACATCACAATGGTCTGTCCAAGAACACCATGACCACTTGATACTTAGCCCAGATGACTTCTTGGAACACCCATCAGATGGAAAAATAATAAAAAAGAAATTTAAGACTAATACTTTATGGAGCAAGGACACGCTGTTCAAGGAAATGTATTCTAGCTGTGAATTGACAAAACTGCTTGAAATGATATGTTAAAAGGCAAAACAACAAAGGAGAATGATATAGCTGAAATGAGACAAGTTTTCACAAATTGATCCCCAAACTCCTTGGTAAATAAGACATTATTTCTGTGTTTTTTTCCCCCACAGCCATACTTGAATTTAAAAAGTAGTCTTTTCCTAGTCCTACGGAAGACAGGCCAATTGAAGCTGAACATAATACTGTAATTAAACATCATCACTACTGTTTCTAAAAGATATTATCAAAAACAACGAAGCAATGGTAAACCCTCATCTCACACCCAGCATCAAAGCATTACAGAACAAATCCGAGCACCCGGCGCCTCTTACTTTTGTAAGGACCGCTGTGTGTTCTTCCCCACAGCTAATATAGACGACTTTTTGCATTCGTAAGAGCTTTACGTGACAAGGAGATTCTCGATCTAGAACGAGAGAAATAAACATCAGAATGTCACCACCACTTGCCTTTGAGACAAAATATACACACCCATCTTTTGGGGAGGAGGAACGTTTTGGATTCCTGACTTAAATATTCAACTTCTTACCTGCCTCTCCATTTGAATGTGTAATAGACATGTCAAATTTAATAGATCTAAAACTTAACTCATGGTTTTCTCACATCCTCCAACTGTGTCTTCTCCCAACAAATACAGTTTTCTTCATTTTAATAAAAGGCAGCTTCATCCTTCCAGCTCCTCCCCTCTTTATTTCAACACTGAGCAAATGTATACTCAAAACGTAGTCAGACTTTGACTTTATTCTCACTACCTCCAAAATTGGGACACTCCTCCCTTAATCCTTAATATCTTTCCTTTTCACTTAATGAAAAGCTAAAACCATAACCTTGCCCTCCAGGACCCTCCATACGTGGGCCCACACTACCCCTGTGACTTCCAATTCTGCTAGTCTCTCTCCTTTGTTCAGTCCACTCCTGAGCAGCCATCTTCTGGCAGCAGAGCCATCATATGTCCTAGTCCCTTCAACAAGAACATTTTTTCCCCTAGAGACATTTCCAACCTCATTTCCTACAAGCCTCTGTTCAAACAGTTTTGTTTTGTTTTTTTAACCAGTAAGGCCCTCCTTAACTACTTTATGTGAAACAGGAAGCTTTACTCTCAAATTCTCTGATAAACACTATATTTTTCAGTTGTTTCCATCCAACCACTAGAATACAATCCCCACAAAGTTAAGGATGCCATCTGTTCTGTTCACTGCTGCACACAGGGTTGGCAGACAGTACATAGTCAAGTCATATATGTTAAACAAATGAATGTGCTTTTGAACCAAAGAGATACATATGAAGAGATCACCTACCTTTTTCATCACTGAGTCCTAACTGTCCTGCATTATTCATCCCCCAGCCAAAAACGGCTCCGGAGAGAGACAGGGCAAAGCTGTGTGCGCCCCCTGCAGCCACCTGAGCCAGTGGGATTCCCTCCAGGGATCTCACCCTCTGTGGGCTAGCTTGGGAGGGGAACTCCTTCCCAAGGCCCAGCTGACCATGGCTGTTCTTTCCCCACGTGAAGAACTGTCCGTCTGAAAGAAGAATAGGATAACTGATATTACCAGAAATGATACAAGCCCCATCCACTAAAACAATCATTAGGACAATATTGCTGCCTCATTTGTTAGTTGACCACTAAGCCCTACCACAGAGCAAGGGAATAGGGACACTTCACACTGTAAGATGATCAAAAGCAAATCTTCTATTTTTCATGACAACAGCGCGATAAAATGTATCCAACTGGCCTTCAAAGACTATAATAGTTTTGCAAAAAAGATTATATGTTTAAGTCAATTTACTTTTGAATAATCTAATACTAGGCTCAGATCCACTACACTGAACTAGTTCTGGCCACACCAAGGCCCTGATACTCAGAAGACTGACCTGGACCACACTACAGAGCATCATCACACAGAGTATTTCAGTGTAGGCTTCCTCTAGAGTTTCTTCTAATGTAGAGAACTATATTATTAGCTACCTTAGGTTTCAATAGCTCCTTCTTTGTCATTTATTTAGGAGCTTAAAGGTTAAATATAGTTTTATAGTGGGTTGCAGCTTTAAAAAACCCAATCTTCCATACACTCAAGAACATGAAAGCAAGGTCCTAGATTCTACTCTTCTTCCCTTGGGAGATAGGTTAGAATGGAGTAGCAATATGATGACTTCTTTAATCACCCACAACCTGATCAAATAGCTCTGCCAAAGGCCATCTGAGAATTGCTACTGTCCAACAGAACTGTATGGCCCCTAACCAGTTAAGGTTTCCAATTAGTTAATATCACCCCAGAATACAAAGAGAAAAAGCTTTCAAACTTAACATAACATTAGCACACATTTAATGTTACATTACCAGCTGCAAGAGCCAAGCAATGCCAGTTGCCACAGGAAACTTGTAATATTGTCTGCTGGTTCAGCTTTTGTATTAACCTAAAATAGAAAAGGCTTTCTCCTTAAAAAAAAAAAGCATTCATACTCAAAATTATCAGAAATATTTCCAAATAAACTAAACAGTTGTAACATATAACATCATGTTTCCTACAAGATTTTAAAAATCAAATTAGTTTCACAGCAATGGTTAAGTGCTTGGTTGCTAACTGAAAGGGCTATGATTTGAACCCTCCAGTACCTCCACAGGGAGACAGACCTAGCCATCTGCTCCCATAAAGACCTCCACCTAGGCTACACTAAGGGGGCAATTCTGCTCTTGACCTATGGGGTCTCTATGAGTTGTATCAACTCAACAGCACCTAGCAACAACAAAATGTTATATGATTCAGTTCTATTAGATCCTGGTGTGGCACTGTGGGTTAATTAATGTGCTGGACTGCAAAGTTGGTTTGAACCACAAGGTCGGTGGTTCAAGTTCACCAGCTGCTCCTAGGAAACCCTATACAGGGTCACTATAGGTCAAAACCAACTCAAAGGCACTTAATAACAACAACATTAGATCTTTCATTAGCCTTTTAAGTTGATGTTTGGTTAAGTGCCATCAAGATGGTTTAGACTCAGCGACCCTGTATAGGATTTCTGAGGAGTGGCCTCTTAAGCAGTGACTGTTTACAACAAAAATAGTTCTGGGCTCCAACCCATTACTACAATCTTATGCGTGGAGTCCTAGTGTGATACTGTAAGATAAGCACTGGACTGCTACCTTCAAGTCAGCGGTTCAAACCCATCAGCCGGCTACTTGGACACTCTATACAGGGTTGCTATGAGTCGGAACATACTCAATGGTACTTAACAACAACAATGTGACTTCTAACATTGTTATCTCCAATTCAGGGACAAATGGAATAAGCTCAGTAAATCCCTAAGAACATGTGTCTAAATATGGTGTTTAAATGACTTTGAAAGTAAGGGAGATTTCTCCAAAACCCCGGTTCCCGAGCATGGTGAGAAAGAGGAGCATATGAGTTCTTTTCAAACTTCACTCCTCTGTACGCACATGTGAAAGACAAAGATATGAACAGTACCTGTGTGAGTTAAATGAAAAAACTCCATTGTCAAGTGCTTGGCATTGTCCAATAGCAATTGTGTTACCTACTCTCTATTTTACAAGTTGCCATGCTCGTTAAGCATAAGTCATGGGGACAAAGGAGTCAGCTAGACACACCATAGAAAGAGGGACGTTCTGGATGATGTGTCCAGTGGGGGCAGGAGTTATTTTAAAAGACAGGTAGATACTGCTTTTCTTAATGTTTTATTTTCTCAATCTAAAAAAGTTGAAAGAGTTCACAAATTCATTTTAGTACCAAACAGAGCCCATCTATTGGTACCAAACAGAGCCCAAATTGGGATAGCTGTAAATTTGCATGCAATTCTAAGAAAGAACACAAAGAGATCCTTTGTACACTTTGTCGTTTCCCAAACTGGTAACATTTTTCAAAGCTACACTATAATATAATAACTTGATAAAATCCACCAATCTTATTCATATTTCTCCAATTTTACTTCTACTCATTTGCATATGTGGATATAAATGGTTACATAATTTTATACATGTGTAAGATCAGGTATCCACTACTACCATCAAGACACTGAATGAGTGTCTTGAACCAGCACCACAAGAATCATGACGCATGGAGGGGATGGTAACCATGGCAATGAAACGATATACGATAGGATGAGTATAAAACTAATGTTCTCCCATGTAAAGTATCACATAATTCACAATAAAACATAAAAAAAAAAAAAAAAGAATCAGTCCAAGTTGTACTTCTATAAGCTTCTCTCACCTCCCTCATTTTCTCTCCTTTCCTATCCCTGGCGATCAATAACATGTCCTCTACTTCTAAAACATTATAATTTCAAAAACAGTTTATAAATGGAATCATATAAGGTAGCATTTTAGGAAGTCATTTATTCAAGCTGTCACATGTATCAATACTTTATAGAAATCCACATTTTTTTTTAAATTAGAAAATGCATTATGACCTGGGGGATCAAGGTTTCAGAGGTTGCTATGTAAGCCTTTTCCCCCACTTCCACTCTAATTCTGTATATCATTACCTTTGTCACAACCCTCACAATCTGTTACAGAAAGAAAACAGAGCAAAGGACAAGACAAATAATAGCAAAACTATACCTTGAGGACAAAATAGCTACAGTGCAAGTACATACTGTGTTCCATCAACTTACTATTTCCTCCCAATAACTTGGCCAGATAAACTGAGGCAAACAACTTGCCCAAGGTCACTCACAGTGGAAGTTGGAAACAAGGAACAGGATCAATAGTTGGAAAAGATAATCTTCATGATAAAAGTGATGCTGGCGATCACATGATAGAACTTTGCAAGGCAAATAACTTCTTCAGAGTCCTGGTGTGGCCCTGTGGGTTAATGCGCCAGACTGCAAAGCCGTTTGAACTGCAAGGTTGGCAGTCCAAGCTCACCAGCTGCTCCTCGGAAACCCTATACAGGGTCACTATGGGTTGGAACTGACTCGATGGCACTTAACAACAACAATGACTTCATCATTGCAAATACCTTTTATCAGTAACATAAATGGCGACTATACTTGTGGACCTCACCAGAAGGAACACACAGGAATTGAATTAACTACATCTGTACAAAGAGACAATGCAAAAGATCCATATCATCAGTCCAAACAAGGCTGGGGACTGTGAAACGGACCATCAATTACTCATATGCAAGTTCTGTCTGAAGCTGAAGAAAATTAAAACAAGTCCATGAGAGCCAGAATATTACCTTGAATATATCCCACCTGAATTTATAGATCATTTAAAGAACAGATTTGATGCATCAGACACTAATGACTGAAGACCAGAAGAATGTGGGATGACATGAAGTACATCATACAAGAAGAAAGCCAAAGGTCATTAAAAAGACAAGAAAGAAAGAAGAGACCAAAATGGATGTAAAAGAGACATTGAAATTTGCTCTTGAGCATAAAGAAGCTTAAAGTGAATGAAAGAAATGAGGAAGTAAAAAGCGAATTTGAAAGGGCAACTTAAGAAGGCAAAACATTGTAATGAAATGTGCAAAGAACTGGAATTAGAAAAGCAAAAGTGAAGAACACATACTCAGCATTTCTCAAGATAAAAGAACTGAAGAAAAAACTCAAGTCTCAACTTGTAATATTGAAGGATTCTATGGACAAAATAGTGAATGATGCAGGAAGCATCAAAAGAAGATGGAAGGAATAGTCACTGTACCAAAAAGAAATGGTTGATGTTCAACAATTTTAAGAGGTAGCGTATGATCAAGACTCAATAATACTGAAAGAAGAAGTCCAAGCTGCACTGAAGACAATGGCGAAAAACAAGTCTCCAGTGACTGAGTGAATACAAATAGAAACCTTTCAAGAAACTGATGAAGTATCAGAGGTGCTCACTCATCTATGCCAAGAATTTTGGAAGACAGCTACCTGGCCAACCAATTGGAAGAGATCCATCTTCATGCCCATTTCAAAGAAAGATGACCCAAGGGAATGTGGAAAACATCAAACAATATCATTAGAATCACATGCAAGTAAAATGCTGCTATAGATAATTCAAAAATGGTTGTAATCGTACATTAACAGGGAACTGTTAGAAATTCAAGTCAGATTCAGAAGCAGACATGAAACTATGGATATAATTGTTGATGTCAGATGGATCTTGGCTGAAAGCAGCGAACACCTGAAAGATATTTACTTGTGCTTTACTAACTATCAAAAAACTTTTGAATGTGTAGATCATGACATATAGATAACATTGTGAAGAATGGGTATTTCAGAACATTTAATTGTGCTCATGAGGAACTTAACTTGTACATAAACCCAGAAGAAGTTGTTTAAACAGAACAAGGACGTATTGAATGGTTTAAAATTAGGAAAGATGTGTGCCAGAGTTGTATCCTCTCACAATACTTACCCATTCTGTATATTGAATAAATAATTCAAGAGGTAGATTTTATAAAGAACAACATGGCATCAGGATTGAAGGAAGACACATTAACAACCTACAATATGTAGATGATACAACCTTGCTAGATGGAAGTGAAGAAGACTCAAAATATTTATTGATTAAGATCAAAGACCACAACCTTCAGTATGGATTGTACTTCAATGTAAAGAAGGAAAAAAATCCTCACCACTGGACCAATAAACAACATTATGATAAATGGAGAAAAGATTGAAGTTGTCAAAGACTTCATATTATTTGGATCCATAATCAACATTCAAGGAAGCAGCACTTGCAGTCCAGTGTTTATTCTACAGTGAGTGCTACACTAGGAGAGGTAAGTAAATAAGTATTTCATAGACTCAAAACCATTTATATTAGTGTTTTTGTGTTAAAGAACCTATGCATTCGTGCTGTTTTAGATATTTGTAATGGTTAAGGTAATCTGCCCTATTATGAGAGTAAAAGTTCAGCCTGGTGTTTCTATTTTAAAGTGCTTAACTGAAAAATTGATTTAGATTTGTGATTTAATATTGAAAGTTAATAAATCTAACACATGCAGAGATGTCTTTTTTAATTCAAATGTTTGTCAGATGTTTATAATGTGCCAGGTACTCTGCTTGCAACCATGCTACTGGAACAAATGCAGCTCCTAACAAACACATTTTTATACAGGAAACAGCTCTGTAAATAGTTACGATGCTTGTGACAAGTACTATCATGGTTGGTCTAAGGCATAGTAGTGACACAAAGGAAACAGGAATTAAACGAAGAAAAGAGAACAAAAACAAGGAATTTAAAAAAACAATAGCAATAAATTTTATCTAAAACAATTGACATTTGAAAACCCAGATTCCCTGCTATGAATTCTTACCTAGGTACTGCTACAGAGTCCTCAGTTGTCATAAGTCCTAGTTGTCCGTCACTCCCTGCACCCCATGAAAAAAGCTGGCCCCGGTCACTGAGGGCCAGACTGTGGGACTCACCGCATGCCACATGGATAATGTGCTGATCTGCCAAAGCTCCAATTTGCTCTGAAAGAAATCGGACCAAAGGAGGAAAATATTCAGCCCAGAAAGCAGACATATTGCTACTCTTACACAGACATTTTGTTTTTTTATACATAGAACCATTAAATCAATATATCTATAGAGATTATAAATGTTATATATTTCTAAAAACTAATTTAGATCCAAGCTACACTAGGTAGAAAACACATATATGCTAGCCCACACACCATACATGTTCCCTCAACAAACATAGTCATGTGCTTGCCCCATTTCTATTCAGGGAGAGCGTAAAGTTTTATTATTTTGACATATGTTCAAGCGAGAGGAGTGAGACAAATTACTAAAAGCATTAAGATTGAGTGAAATTTTAACTTTATATTGAAGGGTAAGAGACCTCAGATAAGCAAAGCACTGCTTAAGGAGAACGAACTTGGAGGTGTCTCATTCGTTAGTCTCAAAATTTTGCAATTCTGACAAGGGACAATGAAACACCACTATATACACACACAAACACCTTCTCTCAATCAGTTCCAGAACACAGAGTGTCCATCTTACATGTATTTAGGCAGAAGATAGTAAGATTTCTCTCTGGGAGCACTGGCCCAAGAAAAAAAAACTCACATGTACTAACATCTATCCCCCAATGAAATGTCCAGTGTCCCCCCAGTCAACAAGTCTTTCCCACACACCAAGAGTTCCATTCAGTTTTAGTGTCTCATTCTTAAATATAAAAGAAAATGCTAGGAAACACTTGTTGAATACATAAACTAATAATCAAATGCAAAGGTTGGAAATATATGCTTTACGATGTCTCAAATGACTGCCAGGGTTCATTATATATATACGGAAAAACAATCACATGAAAGACAAAGAGTGAAACATATAGAAGAAAATGAACTCTAAAGAAACAGATCATGCAGGAAAAAAAGTTGTTGTTTTTTTTTTTTAAGTCCTTAGAGAACTTCAGGAAGATAGTTCAATCCATGAACTAACTAAGAAGAAGGTGCCGTAGAGAGAGATCATTCCAAGAGTCAGAAAACAAGCAAAATAACAGAAATATCTTTCATTTTTATATAGAGAGCTTTTATTGTGAATTGAGTGATAGATTACACGGCAGAACATTCATTATTCACTCAACCAATTGTATTTTGTTTCACTGTAATGGTTACAATCCCCTCTGTGTGCCACTGGTTAACAGCATTTGCCTCTACTCCCATTTTGTTTTTGTTGATGTACACAGAAACACACAGAAATATTTAATTGTTGAAACAACCAAAGGGCACATTCTTGAAGCCAGCTTCCTGGCCGCCAGCACACAGCCTTTGTCTTTCCATGAGTCTAGAGCTCTCAGCTGCTCTCTCTCTCCATGCCATCACCTCTGCCTCTGTCTCTGGTAGGATCCCACTTTCCACTCATGCTCTTCCTTCTTGATGGTCCTAGAGTTCTCTGTTCCTGGAATGTAAGATGAACTACTCCTCCCTTTATGTTACACAACTTCCACCTTTACAGTTGTGACAATACAATTAGTCTTGATAGCAATTACTCATTATTGAATCAAAAGAATCCTATTCCCATCTCCTTTTATCAGATCCATTTAGACAAGATGAAACTCTTCACTGGGGATTCTACCTTCCCACACACACTCTGAAACTAAAGTCCCTCTTGAAAACTTGTAAGCCAGACACTTCGTGCCTTTATAGCCCCCACTCCCACCCCATTACAGGTAGCCAATGTTTCAAATGCCCATTCCTATCCACTCTGTGTGATGAGGGGCTAGGCTTGAACTTTGATGTGAAGACTCCTTCCCTCTAGAAAACAGAATACTTTGTCAGTAAAAATTCAAAAAAAAATTTTCAAAAGCAGAAAAATTTTCTGGAAAATAAAACAAAAAAGAAAGAAAAAAAGATAAGAAGTTAGAGAATTACTTCAAGAGTTCAAGAGATCCAACGTCTGAAAAAAACAACAGCAACAACAAACCAACTTCTAAAACCAGAGACTGGAAGGAACACAAGGCAGAAAATCATCAAAGGGAAAAAAACAAGAAAATTCTTCAGACTAAAGGACACATGTTTCTAACTAAAAAGACCTATTAAATGACCAGAATTATGAATAATAAAGACCCACTTCAGAGCACTTCATCTTGAAATTTCATAACACTAAGAAAGATCCTAAAAGTTTGTAAGAAAGAAATAGTTTGTACACAATACAACAGAGATCAGAATGGTATCAGATTTCTCAGAAGCAACATGGGAAACTGGAAGACAATGGAACTTTCACAGTTCTGAAGGAAAATGACATCTAAACAAGATATTTATTCCCAGTCAACTGTGAATAAAACTTGATCACAGGAAAAAGGGGACAATTTTCAGGACACATAAGGCACTCAAGGAGCCCTGGTGGTATTGTAGGATAAGCATGGTACTGCTAACCGCAAGGTCAGCAGTTTGAGCTCATCAGGCACTCAGTGAGATAAAGATGATACTTTTTGCTTCCATAAAGATTTACAACCTCAGAAACCTTATATAGGTTTGCAGTAGGAACCAACTCAATGGCTGTGGATTTGTTTTTTGTCTTAAGGGACTCAAGGGGAGCCCTGGTGATGCAACAGTTAAGTGCTCAGCTGCTAATCAAAGAATGGTGGTTGAAACCCATCTGTTCCTAGAGACTATCATGGGACACTTTCTCCGTAACATTGGGTCACTATTAGTTGAAATACACTTATCAGCACCTAACAATAACAAGGAGTTCTGGTAGCATAGTGGTTATGAATCGGGCTGCTAACCTCAAGGTTGGCAGTTCGAAACTACCAGCTGTTTCATGGGAGAAAGATGAGGCTTTCTGCTCCTGGAAAGATTTGCAGCCTCAGAAACCCTGTGCAGGGGTCACTATGAGTCGGAATTGACTCCATGGTACTCAACAACAACAACAACAAGACTGAAAATATTTTACTTCTTGTGCCACCTTCATAAAAAAGATATATTCCTCCAAAATAAAGGAAAACTAGAAGCCAGGAAACAATAATCTCACATAGGAAAGCGATGAAGAACATTTCAAGGACAGCAGCAGGTCTAGAAAGCAAAGTTGATAGAATATCTCTGAAGTGCAACATGAAACACTATCTGATGAATTTTACAGTATCATCTCAGAGAGTGTGGAGGTAAAGAGCTCATAGGTTACTAAGCAACAAGGAAAAGGAAAACAAATTATTAACGCCATTAGAAACACAATGCTGTATCGGAAGGCATGATACATGAAGTCAAAATAACCAAGTAAATATAATTTACATAGCTAATAATATATAATAATAGTTAGGAATTAAATTCTCAAGACTGATTTTTTAAAATCAACTCTTTGAAGAGGGATGAAGTAATGTGTCTAGAGGAAAAAAAAAGAGGAAAGGGTAGATAAAGAAAATTAGAACACTTAATTCTGATCTTTCCCAATGTGCAGTCTCCAGAATGGAGTGCTGGACTGTGAACTACAACGTTGACTGTTCAAACCACCAATCGCTCCTTGAACCCCATACAGGGTTGCGTGAGCCAGAACCAACTTGATAGCATTAAGAACAACAAATCTCCAAAGAATGTCCAACATTGAGAAATCTAGAAATAGCGTAGTAAGCATGTTGCTCAGAAATATAAAGACAAATACCAAAAGAAATCCAAACGAGTAAAAAATTAGTGTGTTAGGGAATGACATTTAAGAATGGGAACAGGTGAAGGAGGGAACTGCTATCTGACTTAATCAGAGGTTAACTGTATAAATATACATGCATTATCTGAAAACAAGAAAACTTTTTTTTTTTTTTTTTTTTTAAGTAAGCTCATGCCAGAGTACTTGCCACATAAAGATGTTGTAGTAGCTGTTGTTTCACTATCTATCTTTTCAAAAATTCTACTTGGAGCCTTGTGGTTTCTCACGGTCAGCAGTTTGAATCTACCATAGAAGAAAGATGAGGCTTTCTGCTCCCATGAAGCTTTAGAGCCTGGGAACCCTATACATGGTTGCTACGAGTTGGAACCAATTCACCAGCACACAACCACCACCACCACTTGTCTGCTAGACCCCATTTCTTAATCTAGCCTAGTCCCAGATACTAAATAACAATCCTGTCTTTAGTTTGGAAAAAATTAAGGAATTTCTACCAAAGTAGCTCAGGTGTTATCTGTGCTCTATCCTTCTGACCAAATTCCGAAATCAAGTTCTAGGACTTGGACAACAGTTACGGTCTTCCAATCCTGAGCACCAGGCCCATGACTAAGGGCCAATACCCAACTTTCTGATGCCCATCATTAACCTCACCTGCCTGGAAGTTAGCATAGCCTAACCTGACTCTATGAAGTTTCTATGGTCCAGCCAGGACACTACCTGATCTGCTACAGATCCTCCATCACTCCAAAATATGTCAGTAGCATCCCTCTTGATCTTATCTTTACAGAAGTTGAGTAGCCAGAATAAGGCACACCTACATTCCATTTAGGAGCTCTGGCAGCGTAGTGGTTACGAATCGGGCTGTGAACCTTAAGGTCGGCGGTTCGAAACTACCAGCCGCTCCGCGGGAGAAAGATGAGGCTTTCTACTCCCGTAAGGTTTTACACCCTTGGAAACCTTATACAGGGTCGCTATGGGTCGGAACCGACTCGACGGCACTTAACAACAACAACAACACATTCCATTTACTCACAGTCTGGTCAAACCCTCTGCAAACCAATTCCCGTTCCATCACACAGCAGCCAATCAAACAGACATCAAACTCCCTTCACCACCACACGGAAGTGTGTAGTCCAAAAACCAGAGACACACGGTCAGAAGTGCAATGATTTGCGGAGAAGTAAGCCACTAACTTACTTTGTGGTTTACTGATAAGTTCAACTTACTTTATTTCTTCTAGCAAGAACTCTGAGCTCATTTCATTCAGGCTGGGGAATCTATCACAATGGAACGAAAGTCTCTGCTTCCAGAATTTACTCCTAGGTCAGACCAACATGCTGATGAATGTTCCATTCACACTTGTCACTGAATAC